TTTGGCTCTCTGAGCACTGCCGGTCTCTGACTGCCAGTCTCTGACAGGGTCTGCGCTCCTTGATGCAACATGCGTCCTCGCATGCTGGCGAGAAAAAGAGAGAAAAGGCTACAGAGATGGGACTGACACACGAGTGCCAATTAATCCGGATGGGTGTGGCTCATCTCCAACGAAGCCACTCCTGGGAGATGTTCAGGGCACGGGGGATTGCTGTGGAGATCGCGCCGGGCTCCTTCCCATTCCCTGCTCCTGCACTGACATGGAGACTGTTCATGTGCTTGTAACGACAGCCACTGTCATTAATGCCCCTTCCCTGTCTCGCCAGCTGCTGCATCCTGTCCAGCAGTGCCCAGCCCCAGCCCCGAGTAGAATTCTGTCTGCTTTGTGCTTACAAGAGAAACCAAAGTCCCTATATCAGAGGTGTAGCCGTGTTAGTCCGGATCTACAAAAGCGGTGAGAAGTCCCGTGGCACTTTATAGACTAACCGATTCGTTGGAGCATAAGCTTTCTGGGCAAAGACCCACTTTGTCAGTTCATGCATCTGACTAAGTGGGTCTTTGCCCACGAAAGCTTATGCTCCTACACTTCAGTTAGTCTATAAGGTGCCACAGGACTCCTCACTGCTTTTGCAAAGTCCTCTGGGTTACCTGGTGCACCAGATCCCAGAGTCTGGAGTCCCAGCTGCAGGATATTGTTCCAGAAGCTGCAGTTAATAAATATCCTGGCGGGGCAGAGAAGAGCAAGATGGTAAACATCTCTCTTCTTTCGTGTCCATTGCTGCTGTCATCCTGTGTTTGTGGGGAAGGTGTCAGCAGGGCTGGATTACCCAATAGACAGACCAAGCATGTGCTTAGGGAACAGCAAAGCAGGGGCGCGCGCGCGCGCGCACACACACACACACACACACACACACACACACACACACACACACAAAGATGATTTTATGGTATAGTATTGTTTTTATTTTGTATTATATATGAGAAGGCACCATAATCTTTTCAGTGCTTAGGGCCTCTAAAGGTCTTAATCCGGCTCTGGGTGTCACTCTGTATGCTGTGGTCCTTTTTCAGGCAAGCCACTGGTAGCTGGGCCTACATTTGGCACCAATGTCTGGGCCCCATGCACCAGGAAGGAAAAGATAGGAGAGTGGAAAAGGAGCAAGTGGTAGAATACCCAGGGCAAGAACAGAGCAAGGAGAGATGAGGGAGTCATTGGGTCTCTGCAGGGGCTGGGCTAGCTGCAGCTCGTCCCTTGCCCATCTCCTCAGATGGAGTAGGACAAATCAGGGTGTGGGACTGGAGTTTTCACATAATCTGCTGTATACAGTAGCTGATTCTGCCACTGAGGGGAGCAATCCTATCTTGATTTTCAGCTGGGATCAGCTCTGATGTGTGGGGCCCCAACAGTGTGGTCTCTAGCAGCTGCTGGTGAGGGAATGGATGGAGTCTGAGGTGGGGTGGGAATGGAGTCCTGGGGAGCTCATCTCACTTCCCCTCTTCCCCCTAGTTAGCAAGGGCATTTCTTAATTTGTGGGTGGGGTCTCTGCAGGTCGGCAGCTGCTGTATCTCTGTGGGAAGGGACAAGTGGGAGTGAGTGGGGACAGCCATCATTGCAGCATAGAGCCCATCTGGCCCACGTGGCTATGAGTGTGGAATAGAGTAGATCAGCGCAGCTCCTAAGGGAGCAAAGTCCTTGGCTCTTTGTATTTGGAGTCACTTCCTGTCGTCACTGGATCCTGAACTCATAGAATCCTAGGGTTGGAAGAGCTCTCAGGTGGTCATCTAATCCAACCCCCAGCTCCAAGAAGGACCAAGAAAGATCTAGTTTACAGAAAAACTGAAAAAGCCTGCCAGACCTACTAGCAGAACACTGAACCTGTGCCATTGCAGTGGTAATGAAGCCATTTAACAGGCATTTGCCAATGCCAGATATATACTGCCAGTTTCCAAATTTACTGTTAAGTCTACAGGGCCTTAGTTTAAAATTTGCGTTAAAAATATTTCATTAGTGTGTAGCTGAAAATTATAAAATCACATCTCTAAAAAAATCACACACACACACCGGGGACTGCCATTGGGCATGGTTTAATAGTACTATGTAGGGCCCCCAAAATCCTAAGGATGTCCTGACTGTAAACAATGAGCCTCCCTCCCCAAACACACATGCATCAGAAATGCACAGAAATAAAAACCAGAATAGCAAACTTGAGTTCATTCCCTCACTCCACATCTTTCTGCCTCACCCTCTTTCCCAGGTGAGACCCTGCCAGCCCTCACCTATAGAGCCTATCTCAGTGGTCACCAACCAGTAGCTTGGGAGCTACTGATAGGTCTTGGAGCCTCTGATAGGTGATCCTGACTAGTTTGGCCAAGAGGCTGTCAAGTGCCAGCATGTCAGCTGCACCTCCCCCCACTGCTGCTCATCTCCTGCCCTTTGCCTTGGAGCTGCCCCTCCTGCTGGGGAGCCTCCTGCTTTCTGTGCAGGACAGGGGAGGGACAGGAGGAGTGCTGATGTCAGGGTGCTCCCTCCCACTCTGTGCTTTCTCCATAGAGCAGAGAGAGGGCACAACAGGACTTGGGATGGAGTTTTCCGTCTGCTTTAGGGAGTGCTCCAGGGCTGAGGAGGGGTGCATCTGCCTTAGCCCCACTGCACCCCCAACCAGGAGCCACCAGCAGTGCCCAGCTGGAGCCCACATCCCAAACTCCAACCCCAGTCATGAGCCCCCTTGAACTCCCCTGCATCCAAACGCCATCACAGAGCCGGCACCTAGAACCCACTCCTACATCCCAACTGCCTGCCCCAAGAGCAGCTCAGAGTCCCTCTCACACTCCAGATCCCTTAGTCCAAGACCAGAGCCTGCACCCCAACCCTCTGCCCCAGCCTGATGAAAGAGAGTGAGGATGGGCAAGAGAGGGAGGATGGAGTGAGCAGGGGTGGGGCCTTGGAGAACAGGTGGGAAGGAGGCGGGGCAAGGGTGTTTTTATTTGAGGTAGATCTTGGATTGCACTCAAATTCAGAAAGTGATCTTGTGCTTAAAAAGGTTGGAGACCTCTGGTCTACATTATTTTAAATGCATGTCACTGACTGACCAACAAGTGCAGACCAGACCAGGATACAAACTGCAACTACATGGATGGTAGGGCAAAAAGGAAAATCAGACTCCCTTTTTTCTCCTTTCTGATTATGGACTGAAATAGAGGGGATCAGCCACCTCATCCTGCAAAGGGACCCTGAGACCCATGTCAGAGAGTAATTAGCCACGAGCACTGCTTCAGACCCTGGAGTGCAAACTCATTCAAAGCCACTGCATCTCAGACCCCAGTCAGGTAGCGGGTCCATTCATCTCCCCATAAAGACAGTGGTCGTAACAGGCAAGTCCTGTTGTTTTAATGGGTGACACCAGTTCAGAGATGCACCCTGGCTTCACAGAAATAATAATCCTTTGTCCTGCCATAGAGTGATCTCAGAGTTCTCACAATCAGCAATTTTCAACACGTCAGCCTGCCCTCTGTGATGGGCATAGTGAAGAATTTTATCCCGGTGTGCTGCAGAGGCATAATAGCCTAGCACAAGAAGGGACACATAGCTCCTTCCATACTGCATTGCTCAGACCACAGGTAGAATGCAGCACACAGTCATGGGCACCTCACTACCAGAAAGATGCTGATGGTTCTGGGTTAGTTTTCCTTCTCCATAAACTTCCAGATGTGAAAGCAGCCAGTGAGAGGGGTCAGAACAAAAGGCAGGCTATAGGCATGGAGATGTAAAATGCCACTTGAGTTCCTCAATCTAGGATGGAGCTATTTGGCACTTTCTAGAAAATTAAGGGCCTGATTCTTCATTGCCCTGAACCTTATGCAGAGTAGATATCAAATGCTACCACTTTCACTGGTGTAAATGGCTACCATATGTGCAGGATAACAGAGGAACAGGGCCCAAGTTTTTACCTTAAAAGTAGGTGCCGGCATTTTGTTGCGCTGCTAACAAAGAGGTTTAAATGCTGCTTTAATGGTAATGGCACCTTACGTAGGGAGCAAGTGGTAATATCCCCCTTCCATAGACATAACAGCTCCAGGCCCACTGGTAGCACTTTACAGATTTTTATTCGTAACTCTTACCAATCCATGGGAGGAAGGCTGTAGTCCTGTGCTACAGATATGGAAGCTGAGGCAAAGTGGTTGTGAGTTGCCCGTAGCCACAAAACAAGTCAGTGGCTCAGGCAAAAACAGAACTCCCAAGTTCACTCCAAGGCTACATCTATACTGCAAGCCTCTTCCAGAAGAGCAAATGCGTTCATTTGCATATGCAGCACTCTCATTTGCATTTCCTCTTCCTTTCCCTTTTGCGCAAAAAAGCGCTGTGTAGAAGGTGCCTTTTTGCACAAAAACCCCCTTTTGTGCAAGAGCCGTTCTTCCTTTTTTGAGGAAGAACAGCTCATGCGCAAAAAGGGGTGTTTGCGCAAAAACCTCTTGCACAAAAGGGAAAGGAAGAGGAAATGTAAATGAGAGTGCTGCATAATAAATTAAAACTCTCTTAAACTCGGTTACAGCTTGGTCCAATGTCCATTGAAATCAAAGGGAGTCTTTTCATTGGCTTTGCCTCAGGCCCCTCGACTCCCTTACATGAGACCTACATGGACCCAGCCCATCAGTGTGTAAAGGTGGGTCTGGCCCACGAAAGCTCATCATCTAATAAACCATCTTGTTAGTCTTTAAAGTGCTACATTGTCCTGCATTTTGCTTCAGCTACCCCAGACTAACACGGCTACATCTCTACCACTATTCTGCATATGCAAATGAGTGCTACATTTGTATTTGCTCTTCCGCAAGAGGCTTGCAGTATAGACGTAGCCCAAGAGGCCAGCTCTGACCACTGGGTCCCACTGCTTAGATAGGGAATTCTGTGCATATGAGAGAAGCTGGGAGCACTTGATATGAGGGGCAATGTTGCACATACAAGTTAGCAAGCTAACGACATAAAGAAAGGCCCAAACACAGTGCTTGATGCTGCATCTTTTTTTTTTAATTTTGCTTCTCTAAAGCGAAAGCAGAGCAAGTGATAGGAGGAAAAAAGTGATTAAAAAAAAACAAAATAAAGGAAAAGGCAGCTGCTGGGCTATAAGGGGAAAAAGAGCCCCCAAAAGGGAGGAAATTCGTAAAGGCTAAGCCCGCACTAACTCTTAATAAAATACAATACTGAAAATAAGATCAGAGAGTCTCCAAAATACAATATCTCAAGGATTGCAATAATACAAAATAAGGTTCATTATGTACAAACAATTTCTGCTTTTGGCTCTGTACAACGGTGTGACTGGGAGGCCTGCATGGGCGGTGCATAGTGGATTTGTTGGGTAAGGAGATGTGGTACACTCAGACCTGACAGTGGTTCTATATGCTGGAGTGGAGCACAAGGAAGGGAGGTGTAGGGGTGGTCTTGGGTGAGTGGGTCCTGGTGGACCTTGACTTAGGGTTGTTCTGAAGGATCTTCCTCTTCCCATGTCCATGGCTGAGTGCATGTGGCATCATGGCTGGGATTTGCTGTGTCCAGGTCTGTCCCAAACAGCTCCAAGCAAAGCAAAAGCAAAGCAAAGCAAAATGGAGAAGAGAGGGAAGTGAGGGTTGCCCTCCTGCCCCATCCTTCTCCCTGACCAGCAAAAGCCTTCCCATTCCTCTTCCTCTGAGAGCCATGGAGAAACAGTAGAGAGTCCCCTCCTATTTGCAGTCTCAGGGTGGAGGTGGTGGACAGAAGATGAGATGAGAGCAGCAGCAAGGTGTTGAGAAGGGACTTCTTTTTATTGTTATTTTGAACTGTCAAGTCTCAGAGGGGCAGCCGTGTTAGCCTGTATCTGCAGAAACAACGAGTCCTGTGGACCTTAAAGACTAACAGGTTTATTTGGACATAAGCTTTCATGGGTGCAAACCACTTCGTCAGATGCATTGGCAATACCTCTGACCGGGGTGGCCCGTGACTATAGGCTGTCTCAGCCGTCGCCTAGGGCGCCGCCTTCAATGGCACCCGATGATGACGTCACCCCACTGACGGGCCATTGACTGCCGTGTAGGCGGGAGCACCAATTGCGCGTTCCGCCTTTGGCGCCAGCTGCCGCAGCCCGCCTCAGGCCACTCCTGCTTCTGACAAAGTGGTTTTTACCCATGGAAGCTTATGCTGAAATAAACCTGTTAGTCTTTTAAGATGCCATAGGACTTGTCATTGATTTTTTTTTGCGGGAGGAGGTACGAAAAAAATGACCCAAAGAAGTGTCTGGAGGAGAGTGAGAACTGGCAGGGGATGGCAAATCCCATTTACAAAAGTAGGGAAATCCAGGCCAGGTCTGGTCTCAGGGACGGCTCCAGGTACTATTCTTTTAGCAAGGGGCAACAAGGAAATATGCAACTCTTCCAGCATGGCCTTTCCCAGTAGGGAGAAGGGACCAAAACTACTATCTGGGAGCTACAGGGAAATTTTGAGTGGGGAGGAACCTCCCAAGACTGGGATGAGGCCTCTGACACAGAACTAAAGATGAGGCAGTCTCCACACCATATTCATCAAGTCTGGAGCTAAAGGGATGAAGGCTTTGGTAATTTTGGTGTCAGCATCTAGAGAGTGGGGACCCACAGCACTCTTTGCTCACCCTCATTTATTCTATTTACTGTGGCTAATGATTTGAGTGGGGAGGAACCTCCCAAGACTGGGATGAGGCCTCTGACACAGAACTAAAGATGAGGCAGTCTCCACACCATATTCATCAAGTCTGGAGCTAAAGGGATGAAGGCTTTGGTAATTTTGGTGTCAGCATCTAGAGAGTGGGGACCCACAGCACTCTTTGCTCACCCTCATTTATTCTATTTACTGTGGCTAATGAAGCCCACTACCA